AATCGACCCTATTTTAGAAAAGCTAGAAGCATCAAAGAAGGAAATATGCGATCAAATTCCAGCTCCACCCGATGTCTCTTTTGACGGTACGGTTCCCCTCTTCCACCACAGTGCTGAAGGCACACTGCTGTGTGGTTTGATAAAGGCGTCGGGAGGTCTGAGAGATGGGGCAGAAAAGGGCTCCTGTGCTGTCCTTTGTTTGTTGTGGCATTTAGATCTGGAGGCATTTGGTAGCAATGCGAGGCTGCAAAGTTGGGCCGTAGTTCTGCGCGACCGCTTGAGTTTCGACACGTTTCAGCAAGTGCAAAATGTACGCCGTTTTGTTCTGCGTAGGCATACAGCACAGCCGACGGGCTTAACGTTGTTCTGGAGAGACAAGAAACGTTCGTGCGTTAGTTTAAGTTTAGATTCATGAAGATTAATTTGCGACTGATATGCTAGGTGTTTATTTCAACTGGACAAATATTTTCCTTGTGTCGGTGCCTACAGAGCGGGATTCAAGAGCCAGATTCTCAAGTGCCCGTAGACAATAAAAACGCCACAATCTATGGTTTGAAAACTGCCAGGAGCTTGGTTCATCCATGGAAAGTTGTCATAAGCGATTCTGCAAGTCCGGGGGAGCTGATTGTCACCAGCCAAGCACCATCAGAGAATCTTCTGGACGAGTGGTTCAAGAAATGCTCGGAGACCGTGACACGGGTGTGTTTGCCCTGTCGCAAGTAAACAGCACGCCTACTTTACTATAGTCCCACGACCTGCAAGCCCTTCCACTCAACAGCAAACAAAGATTCCCGTAACGTCTGCTTCATGCGCTTCAGAACAAGACCGACTGTGCAAAAGTAAAGCAGGCGGTGTTGCTGTTGAAGAAGAAGATTTCGTTCATGGTAACCAAGGCAAAATGCTATTGGAGTAGTAGCAGTTCCCAAGGAAGGATGTGTACGGTTCCGGAATTGATGGGAGGTGTTGGAGGATCGAATGTACCGCAGAATGCTCTTGACAGATCAGTTACCGACGTCGTTGACGTAGGTGAGATTGGAAACCGTTTTTTTCGTCTATGCCACAGTTATGACTCCTCAGCACATTCGTGGATATACTGCGACATACAATATCGCACCATTAAGGATATATCGCTTGGTGTGTTGCCTCTGCGATTGTGCAATGTGTTGATTTCAGTGAGGGAGTTGAAGGCGAAGGTCAAAGGCAGCCGTGATGCAGCGTGTGAGTATTTGGTATCCTCCTACTTGTCCTTCCGCGTCTTTTCTCACCTTCAGGTACCCAACTTTAAATATATATTAAAGATTACTTCGACTGCGAAATGTTTGTTGTGAAACAGGCAACGTTGCAGAGAAGAAGATCGACTATATTAACGACGAAGTGCTGAAGCTCAAAAACGGCAGCAACTGTAAATTTGCGCGGGATAGGTTTATCCGACTAACGAGTCATCTGTGTTACGGTGCAATCGACGGCCTGGGCACTGTAGGTTCTATATTTTCCCATCAACTCCACTAGAGCATCTTGGCTGTGCGCTTGGCAAACACGCTAGACGTTCCGTATCGAATACTATCTTTCGCGTTGCATATACTGATACTTCAGTTCAACAGCAAGCCTAAATCGAACTGAAATCACATACGATTTTTGCGTTAGTTGCGTACAGGGCTCCTTTTTGTATTTCATATTGGCCATAGCAATGTTCTTCTTCTCGCTTTTGTTGCTGATCCTTATCATTAAAGACCGCGATAACGATCGCTATCGAGAACCAGAATATACAGCAGCAGCAGGAGGTGCAGCTGAACCGGTTCAAGGGGCGCCCGAAGCTGTTGTTCCTCCGCCACAGGAGGTACAGGATCCAGAAAGCAGCAAAGCTATCGTAGCCCCCGAAGGTAAGTCCAGTGGGAGCTCTAGCATGCCCACAGAC